TATTGTAGAGTGAAAAAAGGATAGTTGGCAAGAATGTGATCAAAAAGAACAATAATGGTTAAAATTAAGAGAAGCAAAGAAAATGTAGAAACATGTTGATGGAAATAAAAAATACTTGGGAAGTGAGTAAAGGGAAGAACAGAATTCAAAATAAAACTGAGCTAATAATATGGAAAGAAAATGAATTAAGGGAATGCTGGAAAATATTTGAGAGTCTATAAAGGAATGATAAATGGAAAAATGGAATTGAAACTAATGCATTTCTCTAAGAAACTTGAAAAAAATGATGAGGTGACAAATGATGGTAATGAAGAGGAGAGGAGGAATATAAAAAAGTTTGCACAAATGCTGCACATTTACTAAAGAAGACAAAGTAAAGGATAAAGTGAAAAGGTTTGAATTATGAAACGTTTGCACAAATATGGACTTAAAGTTTTGTCTCTGAGTGTCATAACAGCAGTATATGATAGAAATAAAGCGTAAGAGATAAATTGAATGCTTAGCAAAATAGTTCAATAAGGAGCAGGACAAAGACACAGATATCTGATTTCCCCATGGTTCTTTAATGCATTTATGAATAAATGTATAAGGAATGCTTCTGAAGATTGATGGGGAAGTGAATGTATGTGTACTATTTGGCCATGGTGTTAACCAAAAGCTTGAGTGATCTGTGGTGAATAGATGTAATGAAATTTGTGGATTACCTTGGGGGACAAGGGGAACAGATGCTGCCCAGGAAACAATCAAACAAAAAAGGGAAGAGTCCCCAATTGATTAACAATCAGAGGAAGAGACTTAGGAAGGACCTGCCCTAATTAATTGGGAAATTAAAAGTGGCAGCAGGAAGTTTCTATTTTCAGATTTTCAACATAAACATAAACAATACCACCAACATCATTTGTCTGAAATGGTACAGGATTTCCTTTCTAAGTAGGGGGTTGGACTAGAAGACCTCCAAGGTCCCTTCCAACTCTGTTATTCTGATAATTAGTTCATATAGTTGAGTTTCCTGTCTGGTTTATCTGGGGGGGCTGGCACAGCCCAACCCACCTCACTATTGCTATTGTGGGGAAATGGGCAGGATTATTAGGTAAATTTAAGGGGAGGAGAGGGAGAGAGCAAAAGAGAGAAGGAAGAATAAAAATAAAACAACAATAATAATAATTTATTAGGCATATCACCTAAAATAGCAAAGATAACATTAGAAGATTGAGTTATATTTTAGTGACACCATGTGGCTACATGCCAATTTGCTATCTGCTAAACTGAATTTCTTGTCATTGTGTAAGATAGATGAAACTTCATAAAAATACATAATTCAGAAAGAAAATAGAGACCTCGCTGATTTAAAATTTAAGAAGCACAACTATTAAATCGATAATCAAACCTAATAAAGGGGATTAGAGAAGGAAGCTTGTCCAAATTTGCTTATTTTCCTATGTCACAATGAAGATGGATATTGATCATTAATTTAGCACTTATTATCTAAATCTAACAACTAATTCTAAAAACTTATCCAGAAGGATATAAATAATTAACGCCTGAAGTTTAGCAAACTGAGATTTGTCTAGCATCTAAATTAACTTCCTTTTCTATGCCAGCAATTTATTTCATTTTACACAAACAAAAACTAGTATTACCATTGATACTATTACTAAAGCTATTTTACATTTAGATTTGCAACAGTTTTTCTCTCCCTCCTTATTCTGACAAGAAAATTACTATTCTATTTGGCTATGAGATTGATTTATTGTTTTATGAATGACAGGAAAAATTCTGTTGTTGTTTTTTTGCTATAAGATAAACAGAAAAAGACAACAGCATTTAATCATAATAATATTTAGAAGGAAGTACATAAAGCCAAAATTATGATAGGGTTTATACATCACATTAAGCTATAAACACTTATCAACTACACTGCCGACTTCGTGCATCTCAATTTAAAAAACAATCTTAAGCCCCAAGCATTCTGAATTGTGAATACAACAGTCATCCTATAAAATGAAGATAAAAAAAAAAACCAGAGCCTTGCTATTTTAAATACAAAAATGGTCTAATTAATTACCTAACTCTAACATTCTGTTTAAAACAACATCAATGAGAATGTTTTAGTAAATCCTTAAGAATAAATGCTATACTTGTCCAGTTTCTTCAGCATAAGTAATTTCTATAAACCAAACAATAATAGGTCCATAATAGACTCTTATGATTTATGCTGAAAGAAATCCATAAGCTCAAAATCACAAGAAAAATAGTTCCTGCTGTTGCTTGACAAATGTTTGCTAAGTGCTATGTAAGAGAATTTTTCCTCCAATAATTTAACTTTAAAACTGCAAAGATTTACTGAGACTATTATAATAGTTTGAATTATTGTTTCTGTCTAATCTCCCTTTTTATATGCATGTAAAGGGGAGAGTTAAGATTAAATTCAATCTTAAATTCTGGTTCTTCCAAATAAGCAAGGTATCATTAGATCTCGTGTTTTCATTTGCACAAGCAGAAAAATATCTGGAGATTTAATTTCACTTTTATCAAAGAATAGTATACTAGAGTCCCTTCTATAAATTTGTCCTGTGCAATGACACTTGGAGAAAAAAAACAATACAGTGACTATTAGCAAATGACAAACACATGTAACACATGTATAATCATAAGTAAATAGTTTGGTCTATTTCAAGCCTCTGCTAAAATACATTCCGCACAGAGTATAACAGCAGAATTAATAGCTTAGAAAACTAATTTGGATTTCTCAGATTGCTACTAAAAATCAATTTTGCAGTGTGAAAATACATTGCAAATAATGCAGCAAATGATTTATTGAGCAGATTAAATCTGTGTTTATTGTAAATCTTCTAGGATTCATTTAAAAATTAATAAATTAGTGATTTGTTTACTTCATGAAACAATATCTTGTAGAATTTCTTTTGCATCACAATGATATTTTATTATTGGAAACGCAGTCAAGAAGTTAGGAAAAGAAAAAGTACTGTACTAAGAACACAAAACAAATGCCTAAAGCAAAGAAACTTCAATGAAATCAAGGACAAGCAATAGTTTTGTTGTTTCCAAGACACTATGAAATTGAACTAATCATGATATCCTCAGGAATAGAGATTATTTTTATCTAAGTCTCTCTTAATATATATGACTCATATTTACATACAAATTGAGATGCCATATTTAGTGAAAATTTAATGCAACCTTGTATTTAACTTCTCACCTAGCATCGTGAACCCAAGGCAAACAAGTGCATTTCATCAAGCAGATTGAGCAGGCTGAGATTCAACAGATAAATCTATTTATATCTGTTTCAATGAATATTGACCTACATCATTAGCCTCTTAATAGTGTTATAAATAATTTTCTAGCTAAGTAATATGTACGGGTTTATTTTCTAATCCATTTGATTACAAATAGCTCTTTAATGTTGTTTAACAATCAGTATTTCCAGTGCTACAAAAATAATACTTTCCTAATATCAAATATATTGTCGCATATAAATGAACATAGATATCTTGCAATTCCCTTTCTATTCTAACTTTCCATTCTCCTTTATTCCTTATAAACTATTCTAACATTGTTTTGTATAGCTTCTATCACAGAAATCTTTATCTATCAAAAGTGGCAGCTATGGATGGAATGAAAGACTCTTGTGTAAACAGAAAGTATATCTATATGTAGATTTCGGGAAGGACATTTCCCCATGAAATAATCCCCCATCTCTTTTGTGATAAAGTTGTGGCCTATTCTCTTCCAGCTTCCCAAACTGCATTTGAAAATGGGACTGTGAAACTACATATTCTTGCTACCCTCCCACTATTCCCAACATCTGGATATCACCAGAAATACATATATGACTGTTTATGGAGATTCTCAGTCATCCTGGTCATAGTTGTCCCAAAGGTGCTTTTCAAGAGGCCACTGGGCTTTCTTGTTTTTTCTTTAAGGACGTTTCGCTTTTCTGAGCTGAAAAAGCTTCTTGGATGAGAAACAAATTGTCTTTAAGAAAAACAAGAAAGTCAAGTTGCCTCTTGAAAAAACATCTTTGGGATACACATATGATTATTCAGGTCCAAGGATTGTTCTTTTTGATTAACATCTTATGTTCAGTTAGACCCAGTCTTTGTTTCCTATTTTAAGTATCAAATGCCACAAGAAATATGAACAATCACATTCCCAAGTTCAGATCAAGAAATACAGAGTTCAACTCCCTTTTTCCTAGCACAGCTCCTACATTTATATCTGTCACATAAATCAACTTCATATTCTTGCTATGTTGAGTATTCACTAACCCCATTCATAACATCTCAAGATTTTTCACCATTACTTTCTGTTCCCATTCCCCAAGTAGCAAAATGTAAAACAGTATGCAATGAAACATCATTTTAATGGACTAACTGGAATGTGTTTAAAAGGGATAAGTGTGTCTATTATTCATGAATGCCCATTTAATCAGAGAATATATCACTGGCAGTAGTATATTATCTATAGTGACTATACAATGATATCACTACTACAATAATATCACTACATAATTGGTGGTATTTTCATAATGATGTCATTACACAATCTTGTTAATCAATATGGAATATTGTTCTGTTCCATACAACTGAGGTTTCACTGTAACTAATTTGGACTGGACTGTGACACTGAAGAAAAGAGACTGTGCAATGAAACAAATCTCTCTCTCTCTCTCTCTCTCTCTCTCTTAAACCATTGTACTAGATGCTGGTGATATTTTATTTTATTACAATATTTAATTTATAAAAAACCAAATGCAACAATTAATTATATGTTATAGTATGTTTCTAAAAGCTACTTTTATTAACTTTTCAGAATATCAGCAGACTTTGTTAAAGTTATTTCAGTATCACTACTCAAATGTTAGTTTGGGTTATTCTAATACATACTGGACTAACCATTGTACCTAATTCTAATCAATTAAAGTAAAACAAATTTGTTTCAACAGTATGGAATCAAAACAGTCACATCATACTAACCTGCAGACACGGGCAGGAAAATACAGTTTTTGCCAAGATCGACATAGATATTTGGAGTGATCAATTACACGAATCCAGTCTAGTTCATCCATGGATACCTCAATATAATAGGAGTACGACCTTTAAGGATCAAATTAATTAAAAATATTGCCGTTAACTGTCTAAATATTTCACACAATGTTGTATACACTCTGGGGATCATTACATTACATTCAATTTTAGCTAAAAAATAAAAATCTATATTTAGGCCAAGTGAGCTAATTTTGCTTCCTTCTGTCTTTGTAATTCCTTACAAAGACCCAAAATATATTCAACAGTTCTGCAGGAACTGTTTGATTAACTCATCAATTTTATGAGGCAAGATAAAGTTAAATATACAACAAATCCACCTCACTTTCAGATAAATGCAAATATTTAACATGCTTAAGATATAAAAGAAAGTATTGTGTGTTTTTAGTTTTAGAATTTAAACTTAACCAGAGAAGTTGTGCATAAAAAAATTAACAGCAACCTGAAAATATTTAGTAGATCATAGATATCATTAAACAGCTTGAGCATGTGGATGTGTTATAACCCATTTTTCCATAATTTTTGTTTGCCGTTTATCTTCTACTACAATTTTTACTCTTACTCGCTTTATCAAATACGTTATTGTATTTTATCAACATCTGTACCTTATAACCCATTTTTCCATAATTTTTGTTTGACGTTTATCTTCTACAATTTTTATTCTTACTCGCTTTATCAAATACGTTATTTCCCCCTTTAGTACCTTTTAAATCAGTATTAACTTCTGGTGACTAACCCTGACTAGTCCCTGCAAGTTTTTTTCACAACAGTTTTCAGAAGTGGTTTAGTACTGCCTCCTCTCTAGGGTTGAGAGAGGAAAGCTCACCCAGCTGGCTTTGTGCCTAAAGCAGAACTAGGACTAGTCTCCCTATTTTTAACATGGTGCAAACTGGCGTTCGTAAAACAATAGGTAATTATTAAAGTAGTAATAAAAATATTTAAATCAGTATTTTTATAAAAACAGCAGTGAAATTAGGCATTTAAAGACTCTCAGATCTTTATTATAATCAAAGACCAACATAATTAAAGCACTCTTAAAAGTAGAAAGTTTTGATCAACTTCTGAAATCTGTAGAACAAAATATTATCATTTTTTAAAATAATGGAATATTCCCACTTATTTTTACCGTGTCTTTATCTTTCATTATTCTACTATGTTATTTCATTTTAATGATTTTATGTACTTGAGATCACTTCATATAAGTTTTCTTCAACTAAATTTCTTTGTGTCAGCTGAAGTTCTGCCTGAAGACAATAAAATGACCATGTTCCCAAACTCATTTCATCTTTTTTTTAAAGGACAAGAATGAAAAACAAAAAGACTTAGAACCAACCTGCTATCTCGATCCCATAATAGTATTCGTATGTGATTGATTATTGATGGCTGACCCAATTTAATTTCAATACCAGAACGGCAGTCATCATCGATAGGATGTCGGGAAAATCCATGGTCTAGATCATAGTTCTGTGTGTCTCCATCTAATAAAGCAGATTTCAATTCCCCTTTAACCACTTGGGCTCCATATTTCATAGTGGCAATGTTCTCCCCTGGTACTGGAAACAGCAATGAAAAATAGTTTATTTTTTCTTTCTAGCACATTTCCAATTGATTGATAATATACGCCACCGCTTCCTTGTGACTTTTGTCAGAACAATGAAAAAAGTTCAATAAATACTAATCAAGAAAGCAATAACATAGTCATAACAACCAAAGCCCCAATGAGTAAGACTTGGTTCTGCAAGTTGGTCTGGGGACCCAATGAAGGAATTTGACTCTGAAGGTGGCTGCTAGATTGACAGCAGATGCCACCTTCCTTCCCTTGCCATGGTGGCGCAGTGGTTAGAATGCAGTACTGTAGCTAACTCACTGCTCACTCCAGAAGTTCGATTCTGAATGGCTCAATGTTGACTCATCCTTCCAAGGTTTGTAAAATGAGGATCCAGATTGTTGGGGGCAATATGCTGACTAAAGAGTTCTGTAAACTATTGTGAAGCAGTATGTAAGACTAAGTGTCATTGCTTGTTCTCTGCTCCTCCCTCGCTCGTCATTTTTTTAGTCTTTTACTTTTTTGTTTATTTTATTGTTCTATTATTTTACATTTACTCTGCTTAAACTTCCTTTTTATTTCCTTGTTTTTTTTATTGTTGTAGAGTAGCTCCATAGTGAGATAGGCTGCAAATAAATTTAATAATAATTTTTTGATCATGTTAAAACCTTTAATATTTTGAATACAGATTGATTGATGGATGGATGGATGGATGGATGGATATATAGATAGATAGGTAGATAGATAGATAAATAGATGGATAGATAGATAACCTTTATTTGAATTTTTTTACTGTGGGCATATTGGCACACATTAAAAATGAAATTTTGTTGCTTGCTCTCAAAAGTGTACACATACATAACACACATTCAAACATGCTACATACAACATATGTATAAACCTACATCCTTATAAATAATATATAGATATTAATCACTGTATAAAGTGCATAAAATGCTAATTTCTGAGAAATCAATCAAATTTGATCGATAATTAAAAATTACCTAGTTAATAGAAACAGCCTCTTTATAAAAAACCCATTCAAATAAAGGAACATGGAATATGGGAACAGAAAAAAAACCAATCATAAAAATTTACAGCAATTTAATTTAATGAAATTTAGAATTAAGAAATATTCAAGATGGATTCAGTTTGAATTTTTGCAGAAAAATGATGGCTATATCTCAAAATTCCATAAATAGAAGATCAGCCAAAGAACTAATATTTCCCTCTCCACCCATTTCTTTGTGCCCTGAAGACAACTTCCTAAAGTTATATCATAAAAAGAAAACAAAACTGGTTCATAAAACATTCCCCTAATTATTGTGACACATACGCCATGCAGTAGCACTCCCAACCCACTTAAGAATAGGATTAATTACAAGAATAGTTTTTCACTGACTCAACCTTTCAATACCAAGGAACAAGGAAAAATGTTTCACTGGTTTACTGAGGATTAGATGAATTAGGACCAGGCAATATAATTAGGATATACAATCAGTTATTAAGGCTACATACTTCTGCTGGTTAACAGTTGTTTAGCAACAACAGTTGGCTAACAACATTTTCAATTAAAAGAAATTAAATTAAAAGAAATAAAAATACATGTATAAAACCTTCCTTTGCAAGTTCAAAATACTTACTTAACATGCCCCTATAATTGAGGTCCATGTCCCGACTTTCAGATCGAACTTTAATGGCATCCAAAATAGCATCAGGAGATAGCAATCCCGAAGGTCTTACAACATTTAAAAGCTCTGTCAAGCTCATCAATGGCAAGCGCACGGCCTTCATGATTTCAGAATGATTTTCCTTAGGATTGTGTTTACACCAATTCATCAATGCTTGAAAAATGTCCTTCTCAGGAGCTGCAAATGAATCCCTCAGTACAATACTGAGAAGTGCTGGCTAAAAAGTAAAAAGAAATGGCATTAATGTAAGGTTGTTCAGTCAGCTCCAAGTAAAACTATACTATTTGAATTCTACAATATCTTCATTATGAGCTAATAAATTCTGTTGGCAATAAACATTTGCTTATAAAACCAACACCCCACATATCCACATAAAAGTTTTATCCTTCCTATATAAAGCAATATTAGCAGCAGTTTTTTACTAACCATTCATGTATCTGAAACTAAAGATTATTCATTTCTATTATATAAATCATATAGTTTAATACAATCCCATTAATAAAATTAATAAATAAAATTAACTTGGAGCAAAACCGTTCCCCTGGCTCATGACTGAAATTTATTTTTGTTTCATGAAGATGCTTTTTATTATAATGTGGGTTCTTGTTACTCTACTCAGAATCTTCCAGGATTGGGGCAGATTATAAGTACATATTGATACTTTTAATTAATGATTACAGAATTACACGCAAGCACAGAAACTTTAATCTCCTGAACACAGAGCCTTTTCAACAGCCATCTTCCTAGTTTCAACACATTTCAGAGAAGGAAAGATTAAGAACTGAGGAATAATTGTGACTGAAAAATGGAACAATGATTATTCAGGTAGAACATATTCCAGGAATGGCTGATTATTGAAAGGATTTATGTAGGAAAAGCCAAATTATTGTTGAATGCCATCTGGTCCACTGAAAGATAAACATTTGGATAATAGTTTTAAATTCTATTTTCAACCATTTCAATAATATTTTTCAAATATGTATAAAAAGCAATTTTAAAAAAACCTAAATTGTTCTCATACCTTAGAAAGAGACAGAAAACCTTCACTGGAGAGTACCTCTTGAGCGTTTCTGTCCATAAATATGAAGCTCATACATGTCAATTTAGGTAGTGAGTAGAGATTAGCAACGTCATAGGTCATGCAAACATTTTGAATGTTAAGAATGGTGCAAAGGTATTCAGAGGTGGAATCCTCCAGTTCTGGAAAACCATATTTATGTGCTAAACTCAAAAAATCTAACAGGACTTCTTCTTTCTCGTCTCTTAATGTGGCACGACCGGTATAAATATATTTCAATAACATTGTAAAGGCCTCTGCGGTGGTATCATGGAGAGGGATTTCTGCTTCAGGCTGAGATTCACGCATTCCACCATATAATAACGCTCTGTTCAAAGGCAGAGAAAGAATAAAGGTGTGAAAAATTTGCATTTGATAAAATCATGCAAACCCTAAAACAGAAAGCATGAAATAACACAAATCCCAAAATTTCCTCCTGCAAGTGATATTTTTACCACTGTAAAATCATCACATTTAGTTCTTAAGACAAAAATTATAGTCTTTTGTTTGCATTTGAGGCTGTTGACAGCTTGTATCAAGTAGTTAAAAATTACTTGCAACTGATTGCCGGAGACAGCTATATAAAATGAAAAAAGGATATTGCTTTAATATAGAGATACTGTACGCAGCAGGATTTGCATTAGAAACAAGAGACACGGCAATACTGAACACTGTGCTAGTGAAAGGAACTTTGCAGTATTTGTCCTCTCTGTTCCCTCCTTCCCCTCAAGGCCTGTAGCCTTTGAGAAATGGTTATTCAAAGGATTGGAGGAGTTTCCAAAATAGAATATACAGTACCATGGGAGGTTGAGAAAAAAAAAATGGAATTCCTTGGAAATGCGTAAAATTAACCATCACAGACAATCTATTGGCTCTAGATTTGGGAATTAATTTGGGGAGTCGTTTTTACAAATTCTGAAACCATTGTTATTACATTTTCTTCAAAAATATTACATACTAGACAACATTATAGATATTATAGAAAAGTATACATGCTACAAGAAAAAAAATAAATGTATGCATAATAAACTATATACTTAAAAAGAAAAAAATACCCTAAATAACAAGAAAAAATAACAGAATTAAAGGGAAAAAAGACCATTAATACCAAACTGCCTTTCTCTTCAGTTTTTAATACCAGATTTCAACCAGAAACTAATTTTATGAGATTCTTGCATTTCAAAGAGTTGGGAACAAATAGATAACGGGAAATTTCATAATCTGTTTCACAGCATTAACTTGTTTTGTTAAAGCAATTTTTGCTGGAAACAATTGTGTGACCATTCTGAATTTCAATCCTCCTGAAATGTAGCCTATTAGTTTGAGAAACGTATGTAATGGTAGTCAAGTATAACAGTGCAGTGTACATTTATATTTTTACATTTAAAAAAAAGCATTGTTGGACAGATAGCATCAGATTATTTCTTAATGGCTTTTTACTTCATCTTGCTTACCAGAAACTCAAAGTACATCTGAAAAGACATTATACTTCACCTGAAATATTGACACCTTGCAGCCAGAATAACCCTGTGTGCAGGAAATCGTTTCTTTTCCACTATAAAGGTAACGTCACTGTATTCCTCCCCATTCATCAGAACACCAACATGTTCAGACAGAATGTGAACGTGGTCTATTTCACCTACTGCTGTATAAGGTCGGAGTGGATGACTGTTGCTCATGTTGTACAAGAAATGTTTATGCTACACCTAAAAAATACAGCATAAGAATAATGAAGAAAACCATTATAAATGTTAAATGGACCATAACTTAAATATAAAGGTACTGCCTAGGACGCAGAATTAAGTCCACGAATTCACCAAGGAAGCTAACTTGGTGACCTTAGGCCAGTCATTTTCTTATAGCTCAACCTATTTCACAATATTCTTTTGGGAAAAGAAATCGAGGAAATATACGCCACCCAGAAAAAAAAAGCAGTGTTATTTAATTAATTAATTTAATTTCCAGACTGTCCTATTTCTTAGTGATTCAGAGAGTCTTCCAATGAAGAAAGAAGCAACTTATATAGAAAAAGGCAAAACTCATTAGCTCATAGCAGTAAAAAAACCCCCAAACTTAATCACCCTAACCTAAGGCCTGGGAAAACAAATACTTTAATCATTTTTTTCAATGTAATTTCATATGTAACAGACATAAACAAAATGCAGCAATATTTTCATCAAATCAGTGCTAAAACTGTTATGTTGATATATAAACCATACTAAGAGGCCCTTCTAAAAATTAAAATAAATAAAATAATTATATTATAGTGCTTGCTCAATTGTATATTCTGTACAAGACTGATTCTGTAACCGCAGATCAGTTAGGCCCTATATAGGAGCACTCAAATCAAATACTGAAAGCTGTAACAGAACCTTTCATGCGTAATTAGCTAGAATATGAATATTTATGAACTCTTTTCCCCAGAGTCTAATTAATTATCTGAAACGGAGATAAGAGTGATTTTTAATTATTAATATTAGAAGATTTTCTTAAGAAATAAGTTTAATCAAGGCAAAATTAACTATTCACTTCCTGTAAAACTCTAGTTGAATCCAATCTCATAGGATAGAGACTTCACAGAAAGTGAAATTTCAACTATTTATATTCTAATAAACCTCTGAAAGGAATGTAGGTAGCTGTTGATTTATGATAACAATTGGGACAGGAACTCTGGTCATTAAGCAAGTGATTCATCAGGTAATCAGACCCAATTGCTTGTCGGAAGCCAGCTGGGAAAGTAGCAAATCATGTTCATGTCTCTATAGGATATTGCAACTGCTGTAAATGCAAACCAGTTGCCAAGTGCCTAAATCACAATCACATTACCATGGACAGATCATAAGTTACTTTTTTCAGCATTGTCATAACTTTGATCTGTTGTTAAATGAATATCATAAGTCAAGGACTACTTACAGTACATGACATTTGCAAAACATACACTTTTGCCCTTTTTTTCCATTCACGTAGCTTGAAGTTACTTTCCCCCACCCCCTAAACTCCTATTTTGGGAAAAATAGGCTTTGTGCACATTTAAAAACAATTTGCATTTTCCAATAAGAGTTTCTTATCTACACAAGAATAAAGCTATAGAATATTCATTTCATTATTTTAGGCATACACAATTGTACTGATATCATCTTATGGTTATATCATCAAATCATCTTTTGTTGTACAAAGAGCAAGTACTTATGCAACTCTTAAATCTTAACACATTTAATATAAGATCTTAACATGATGTAAGGCCTTAACTTACATTACTCCAAACTAAAATATGAGTGATAGATAACAAAGCTAAGAGTTTTAGCCACTTAAAAATAGCTTCTTGTTCTTTAATCTTTGTCCATATTTATACAGAACAATATGTTGATATGTAACATGAAGTCTGGTTAAGCCAAAGTAGAGTGAAATGTTGTTTTCTGAAAAATTCATTGTGTGACACAAAATGTAAAACAAACAAAAACTCAGCAAAATAATATTCAATCAAAACATGATTTTTAAAATTCTTTTGATCTTCAAAAACCATTTAGCTTTATAGCTGTTTCCCAACTTTTTTATGAAACTGTAATGCAGGTCACAGAAAAATTCTGCCAACTTTCCTTGTCAAGGAGGAGAGAGGCAACTGTTAAATAGGGAGTTATATAGGGGGTCAACCTATTCTCCAAAGCACCTGCAGGCAGAACAAGAAGCAATGGATGGAAACTAATCAAGGAGAAAACCAAACTAGAAAAAAGAAGAAATTTCTTCACAGTTAGAACAATTAATCAGTGGAATGGTTTGCTATCAGAAGTTGTGTGTGCTCCATCACTGGAGGTTTTTAAAAAGAGACTGGACAATCACTTGTCTGAGAGAGTTGGTCTAGAAAACCTCTAAGATCCCTTCCATCTCTGTTATTGTGTTACTTTGTTAAATATATGTAACAATATTAAATGTCTCAGTCAACAAAACAGTCAACTAGATTAGTAGTTTTTTCCTTCTGCAGCCCCTTCAATGTCCCCAAAACCTGCTCTGGATGTTGGACTACTCTTTGGAGCAGATATATAAGGGAGGACAGAAGCTGCCAAAGGAAAGGAAGGAGTAAAATAATTCTATTGTATTAATATATTTTCATACCATCCATGGATATTCAATTTACTGTAATTATGCTTCTTTTAAGAATTTTCAGAAACTAGATTAGAATAAGTTATAAAATACTGAGACATGAGATTCCAATTTTAAAATAGTTCTATTTGTCTCTAGATGGCTTCTAGATTGAATTTAAAGTACAGTATTTGATATTATAGATTTAAAATATCACAATGTCCTATTTATTAAACTATCTATATCTGAAATAAAAATAGTTTAGATTTCAGCATAGTCTACAGTGTGATTGTATTTTCAAAGAACTTGCTCTACACATACAAGACACCTTATATGAGAAAGTTCATTCTGTCCTTTGGTTAAATCTATGCAGTTGCAGAAGACTTCCTTAAGAGCACATCCCTGGTACTTCAGCTTGTTTCTATTTTGCTAGTTTTTAAAAATTTACTAGAGTAATTTTATTTTTCTCTATTAGATCTGTATACCACTGAATCCATCCAGACTCACAGTAAATCAACATAATGCAAACTGCTTTTATTAATATCAATGTGAATCACTTCATTCTAAGATAAGGCTTCTTCAATGAAAGTTATTGGGCTGCCATTTTTGTACAGTGGACATGGAAAATATGTTTTCTTTTTGTTTTCCTAAAATCAACAATTAGTTAACTTTTCTCTATCTGAGCCAGTCAGAGATTTCCCAGGAAAATGGCCTGTCAACAGTGGATTACAGTTGTTTGTTTTTTTAGGAGCTGGAACTCTTAGGTTTTACAGTGTAAAACCTGGCAAGCTACAAAGTGTTCAGTGCAAGCTGACAAGGATCTCCTGTGATGCCATTACATCATATACAAGACTCATACGCATAGGACATATAGCAGGAGAAACCAGATAGTCTGTTCTGCCAAATGGTGAGTGAATCTGACTTAGGGTGTTGCTAGTAAATGCCTAGTGCAGGGGTGTCAAACTGCCGGCCCGCAAGCTAGTTTCATCATACCGAAGCCACGCCTACCCCATTGCCGGCAATGCAAAAAGAGTCGCGATACGTTGTGACACATCACGTGACATGACGAGTTTGATACCCGTGGTCTAGTGTAAGAACATTCCAATTCATGGTTTGTTGGTATGTGAACAGTCAGGCCTGTTGTTATTGAGATTTGGCTGAGTGAAGGTAAGAATGAGGTCTGCCCAGCTGGGTCTAAGTTCCTGCATCAAGCCTTAAAGCCAGTAACATCAGAGGAGGTAATGGCACTGATTTATTGGGATGCTTATCAGTCAGTGTAGGCACTGCTCCTGCAGTGGGCAGGCTGCGAGTTCTTGGGCCATATGAAAAGCTAGATAGCTTATTGGTGTACCGATTGCCAAGCTGCCCTGGAAGATCCTTTCCTAGATTCTACTGGAAAAGCAAATAGAAGCCACTGTCAAGAGGGCACTTTCCTAGCTTTGGCTGGTGCACCATTGTGGGCCTATCTGGTCAGGAGGACTTTGCTACAATGACTTCCCTTAGATTACTATAATGTGGTGTACATGGGGCTGACTTTGAAGATTTCATAGAGTCTGCAGTTAATTCAAATTGTACTGTCTGATGTACTGACTGGTGTTTGCCTATGAAAGCATATTATATAAGTGCTGTAGGTCTTACACTGATTACTAATAGATCTCCAGATAAAATTTAAAGTGCTGATATTAACCTGCATGACTTGGTGCCTGATTAACTACAAGACTGCATTCTCCCATCAGAATTGGTCCATTCAATTCAATCTACTTTAATGCCAACTGTTAGTGGCATTACTTTTTAATGGCTGTGCCAGTCCTTTGGAAAAGCCTCCCAATGAATTTCGAATTGGCTCTTAGCCTGAGACTGCCTTTCAGAAACTGCTCAGAGCTTTTCAAAAGCACACTGGGCCTTGGTTTCATCTTAGTTCAGTTGTAATTTTTTTAAATTTAATTTTATTCTTTCGCTTGTATGTGGATCTTTTACTTGTGTACTTTTGTAGCATATTTTTTCTTATGCATTTAATATTGCAGAGCTCCAAGAATCTTCAGGTAATTTGGTAAATAAACAATAAAATAACTTATCAAAATCACAGTTTTACTTACAGTGTTAATATTCATCCACCTAGTTCTCAAGGCATCCTTCTTAAATAAGGCAAACATTTTTTAAGCAAACCAAGAACCACAGTGATACAGTAGTTCTGAACCAAAAGAGTGGATATGATTAATTCTAGATCAGAGCCTTGAATTCAAAATCTTCCTCAATCATGAAGGTTGAAACCAATTGTTTCTCTTAAATTCGCACACAGATTTAATTTAAGGCTAAAATATTTAAGCTCTCCAGAATGAACAGATACAGACATAATACATAGAGAAAATAAAATCATAAAAACATGTTACATCTTATAGTTAATGCAAAACACATTTCATATTTGTGCCATAGGTTTAGCAAACAAATTTTGACAAACATACACAGATATGTATCTATGTATAATTATCAATTCTGGAAAGAGATGTAAAGAGACCACTCATTGTCTCAAGCACATTGTGAGAAAAAAAAGATATTTACAGACAGAAAGGACTGATCCAAAACATCTTTGCTACCTCAGGTGGGTCAGCAAATCCTAATCCTCCATTTCTCATTGGATTACCATATCCTAATAATAATTTTCAGCCTAACCAATCACATCACACAAGATTACGATGAGGATAAAAATAACTTTAATCCCAACCTTTATTTCTTAGAAAAATGACATATGCAAATGTAACCAAATATAATGTTTTAGGGTGGGGGAAGTGAGATCCAAAGGGGGAAAAGATGCTCTGGATCATATGGGACCATTATGCAGTACCTGTTGGCAACTGTCTTAAACAGTGTTTCTCAACCTCAGTAATCTTAAGATGTTGATGTGAACTCCAGAATTCCCCAGGTAACATGTCTTCTTTTATTTTTATTTTACTTATTTCATGTATGTTGTCTTTCTTTTACTATCTATAGCAAGAAACCACAAGAATTATTCTGAAAAGCATAAGAATTTAGTACAAATTGATAAGCATAGCATGGTCTTAAAAAAAAGAAAATGTTATTTGTATGGTCTATAGCTCCATGCCTTATTGAGTGTTACAATAAACACCAATGTATATATTGCACACCTTTGCATTCCAAAGCTAGAATCTCTGGCCAGACAGCAGATGCAGATCATTTGTATAGAAAAAAACTGCTTTAGTAAATTTCTTACACTCTCATGTGGGAATTCAAGATACTACATGCGGTTCCCCTGTAATTTTTTCTCATGACGCAATGAGATAAAGCTGATATGTTTTTGAAAAGCAGAAAGTAGAAGAATCTGTTCAAAAGGTTCTATCAAAGGAGCTTCCCTTTTAGATACCCCATACTTTTGACTGTTTGGTTTAGTATGAGTTACCCTCATTTACCAAGAGCAAAGGACTGAAACATATTTTGTGATATCACAATGCAGTGACATAAAACATAGGGTAACAAATTTGAAATGCTTGAGTTTGCATTATGAAATTATGAGGTTCACTTTTTCAACATTGCATTTTGTACACATGCTTATGCCAGCAAGTGTCACTGTTGTGTGAGTATTTAAAGGCGAATTTGACTTCAATCATTACATCAATCTGCTATCAGTACAATTGGCCCAAACTTTATATTTAAAAAAAAAAAAGAAAATAAGAGATAAAGACTTTTTTATGTGTACCATATACAAAACAAACAGCATTAACAGTGGATTTCTGTAGCGTACACACTTATTTAGAAACCCAACTGAGTTAAACGAGGTGGCTGAGAGTTGCAGTCTAAGAATCTGATCATTACCTTTTTGGAGACGGGCAATGTAATTTCAATATCACAGAACTGTCACTATTTTATTTAAAATAATTTTCCTAAGGTTGGTTTTTTTTTGGGGGGGGATGTAATTACGTTCTGGTAAATTTAATTAAACACACGCCCCTGGCACATGAACGGCCTTAACAGTGCAGTTTCGCTTTTATTTTATTTTACAAAGAGCTACATACAAATCCGGTTAAGTAATAACTAAAAAAAAAACTGGGGTTTGCATTCCAAAGCATAGGCTTAAAGGCCCATTGCACGTAAAGGGCGTCAATTGCACACAACGGCCCCTCCTACCCAGGATCCTAAATTCCAGACGTACAGCTTTCATTGTGGGATGAACGAAGCCCCATCGCCGCTTGCACCCCCCAGGAAAACCGTGCGCGAAACCTGCTGCCCCCATCTTGGTGCGGAGCCCTGGACAAAAAGCTCGGGACGATTCCTTGGGAATCCCCATCAGATGCCCTTCGCTTTGCCTTGAAACAACCTCGCCGAGCGGCTAAGAAATGCTCAGGGCCGCGAGGTTTGCCCGGCAGGGAACGACGAACCGATATTAACGGCCGTGGCGGCTTGCCCGCTTGCGCGCGGCCCTATACGAGCAAGCAGGCGCGTGGGAGAACCCCGAGGAAACTCCCCCCCCCCGAGCCCTTTCGCCGCCAGACTTACCGGCAGCAGCGCTGGAGCAGGACCACTCCCCCCCCCCACTTCGCCGGCCGTGGCGTTCAGGCGTCGCCGCGAGCACTGACGTCACCCTAGCAACGACAGCGCGAGCGTTCGGCGCGCCGACGTCATCGCGACGGTAAGGAAAGCGAGACTCTGAAATTTCCAAGATACAAATTTGTAGAGGTGGAGATCGTTCCTGTTTGGCGCTGGGTAATTCCCGAAGGAAAGAAAAGTAAAAAAAAAACAAGACACATCATCTTTACCTATCTCCTCTTGGAAATAGGCTCCTTAAAAATGGGAGAAATTCAAGGCTGAAATTCAACCCCAGGCGGATGGGCGCCAGCGAGGGCGGTCAAAACATAATCTTCCTGTTTGAACTGCGACGGAACTTAATCCGAGGAAGAAACAAACTGAGATTCGTTTCAGTATTTCACTTTTTATTAAACTAAACCAGGGGTCCTCAACCTTGGCAACTTTTAAGATTTGTGGACTTCAACTCCCAGAATTCCTCAGCCAGCTTTGCTGGCTGAGGAATTCTGGGAGTTGAAGTCCACAAGCCTTAAAATTGCCAAGGTTGAGGATCCCTGAACTAAACTGTAGCAGCAGCTTATACTATCCAACCCGATTCAACTTGTTTTCGGAATTAACCCATTGCTACTAACAAAGATCAGTTGCGCTTTCCTTTTTCTTTTTTTGAAAACTCTCAAAGGAGATTCTTTCACAACATACAGAGTAAGGTCACACTGGCCTTAGGATACATAGGCACAATCATAAAAGTCCAGATTAGAAGAGTCAGAGAAAGAAGTCTCTTTCTAATCATTGGCCTTCTGGACCCTTGCTTCCATCTAGTTTGCAATTTCCCTGCCCAGTAAAAGGTAGACCAGATAAACCAAAACTAAACTAAACTTTTCTCCTAGTAATTATCCTATGCATTAAGCAAATTGGAATGGTGACATTAAAAAATGATTCTTGCAAATGTTACGCATTACAATCACGTTGCCCTTTTTATGCCATAATGCAGTGAAAACAGCTTTCGTTCCTTCATTGATCTAGGGTTCAGAATGCAACAACCAGTTTATAGGATGAAAATCGCACTTGCAGGTACAAAAGATACGATTATTAATTTTTTCCTCTATATTCTCCAATTATGGTTGGTTACAATCTGCCAGATTGTCACGGTCAGCCAAATTAGACTGGGTTTCGCATTCACCTATCAAGCCCTTCCCAAAGACCTGAGGTAGGCAGATGTTTGATGGTATGAAAGGTATTGCTGCAGGAAGCAAGATAATAACATGTAAAGGTGCTTTTTGCAAATGACTTATGGTGATTTTTTCAATGCCAATAGAGTTCCAGGGTTGTTTTGGGATTGCGACTAAGGCACCTATCGCTATTGGTACTATCTTTGCTCTCTTTTTTGCCAGTCATTCTACTTCTATTTGCAGATCTATTTTGTGATTATTTATTGAAGAAATACAACTAGCAACTGCCTGGAAAGTCCATGAAGTTTTCTTGGCAGGATTTCAGAAGTGATTTGTCATTATTTGCTTCTGCTTCCTATGACTAGATAAAGTGACTGGCCCAGGGTAATTGAGCAGGCTTCATGCCTAAGGATGGGAGCAGAACTCACACTCCCAGTTTGTAGCCTTATGCCTTAACGTTATATATTTATTTCGTACTGTTTAAGTTGTTTTGATGATGTATGCTGCCCAGAGTCACTTATTGAGATGGGAAGCTAAAGAAATCAAATACATAAAACCACTACAAGCAGTCCTCATTTGTAATGACCCTAACTGGGACCAGCAACTCCACTGCTGAGCAATTATGAAATCACAACTATACTTTCCAGCTAGGCAAACATCTTGCAGTACTTTCTTGAAATCTCTTCCTCTCCAATCCCTCCAGGTGTGAGGAGGCAGACCAAGTAATTTCTGTAGGCCAGCTCTCCTTTTCCTGACCCTTCTCCCTCCCACATGCACAACAGAGAGAGTGATGAGGAAGGGATTTCAATAGAATACTATGTACTTCTGCACATTAAAAGCAATGTTATTGTGCATCAGCAACAGAAAACAATCAGGCAAAGGAGAAATTGTGCCTATAGAAATTGCTTGTTTTCCCCGTCTTCGCAGAACAGAAAGATTGGAGGAAAAGATTCCACAAGAGTACTATAAACTACCTGTGTAATGTGCATGAGGCTTTCAGACCCAACCTGTTTTTATGATTGCATTAGTTTTAATGTGTAGAAGAGCAAACAGTTTACTCTTTTGCAATCCCTTTCTCTCTAATCTTTTTGTTCTGCAATGGGGGGGCGGGGAGAAAAAAACACAGGACAGGCATAGAACATGTACTGAGTGTAATGATAATCACTTGATTAAGGAATGCTGTGAAGATATTAAATGGTAACTTGGCTATAAAATTATTTTTTCAGCACCTTTTTAACTTCAAACAGTTGCTAAAAAAGTGACTGATAAGAGAGGAATATCTTTATAAAGTGGCTCTCAATGTATTCTCCAAAGCCAATATTTTTTTTACTAATTTCCTGTTTTTTGCTTTGCAAACAGCCAATAGAATCTGAAATTATTTTTCCTAGTGCAAAATATAAAGAAGCATAAACAAGATTCCACAAGAGTCAGCTTTAGCAACAGAGAATAAAAAAGTACAAGTTCACAATTTAGTATGCAAGTATTTAATATTTTCCATCTTCTTCCAGAAAAAAAGTCTTAAATTGCCATTTTCAACTTTTTTCAGCACTTCAAAATGATCCAAATACTGCAACCTTTATTTAGACTAGGGGCAAGAATCAATTTGTATTTCACTACGGAATTCACCAACCATAAAAAGGGTTCCAAGGTAAACATTTTTCCAGAAGAAAAATTTCAGAACATTTGACTGCATTCAGGCACTATGGCAAAATAATATTTTTTTTAAAAAAGTTGGCCCTATTTCACTTGATTTCACATGATTTGTCCTAATTGTGGTTCATCATTTAAAAAAAAATCAATTATGAAGCTTTGTTCTACCCCAAGAGATCCCTGCTTAGTAGAAACAGAAGCAAATTTCTAAATAACAAAAAGCTAAAAGCTGTTTTTTCTATGGTAGATTTGGAAGCTCACACCTTGATAAAGATGTTAACACTGGTTTTGAGAATGATCCACATCAAACCACAGGTTTACATGCCTCAAAATAAAAATATTAGAATATTTTGTCTTCAGACTGAGTAGGAAATTGCCAAAATTGAGCTTCTCATCTCTCCTTGCACACAAAAGGAAAAGAAAGGAGTTTGAGACCATCAGTACATGTCTGCTCACTCCCTAACCTCCAATCTGAATCATTCTTCCCCTATGTTACACTAAAAGTGTTCACGTTCACAGCAAAATTCATAAATTAAGTAGGGAGAGGAGAAACAGAATACACAATCAGCTACTCTTTCCCAACCCGCTCCTGATTATATCAATTGTTTTCCCTGAAAGAAGTTACAACAGTTTATTGACGGATGCTCACAGTGCATTGTTGTTATTTTTAACCTAGATTAAAGTCACCATGTGATTAGGGGTCAGGATTTCAATCCAGTAGCCATCAGGATCCTGAATAAAAGCCAGGCCTTTCATTTTACCTATAAAAGAGGAATATGTAGTATTAATAAATTCCAGTATAATTCTCATTTTAAGTTTTTACAAGGTATATATGTCCCAGGATAATGTTGTAGGATCCAATCTGGGTCAGTCACCAGAAGTTCCCTGAGGATTGGGGCTCCAGCATGAGTCCAAAAGCTCGGAAGACCAAACCTCTGGTCCCGGTGACCGACTCAGATTGGATCCCACTTTACAACTTTCCGAGATTAGTATAATTTCTTCTCCAAGAATTTTTTTCCCAGAGACAAGATTTTTATCATTTGCAAAAAGCAAGCTGGAAATAGACAAATAGGTTGGAGACACACATCATGCTACCCTACATATATGTATATATAATTTGACATGATCGATGTATTCACCGATTAATCTCAATATTACATACAAAGAAAAAGGCAATTATTGGTTCACAGCACACTCACCATCATCTGGTTTCTTTACAAATTTTACCCCCAGTTCTTCAAATCTTTTACAAGCTTTATTTACATCAGGAACAGCAATTCCAATGTGACCTAAAAAATAATCAGAATAATCAAAAACAGTGCTACATTTGGCAATATGTGAATGCCTTTGTTCATAAAGCACTGACATAAATCATCTATTTTTTGGGGGGGAAAACAGGAAATACAACCATTATTCCATAATACATACAGTAGAAATCTATTAATAGTATTCAAAATTACATTTAAAAGGGAACAGCCACAATCTGATGTGATCCAGATGCATTGATACAACTCCTATCATTTATATCCAGGTCTGAAACTCAATGACAGGATTATGAGAATTATAATTCAATAAATTTAGAGATTATCAAGAAGATACAACTTTACTGAATGAACCAGAGAATCACTGGGGATCTTATATCCATCTAGTCCAATCCCTAGCTTGCTGCAATACTCTAAACCAGCAGTCCCCAACTTTTTTGGCACCAGGGAACAGTTTCATGGAAGACAACTTTTCCACAGATTGGGGGAATGAGAGAAGTACGCAACCTAGATCCCTCGCATGTGCAGTTTACAGTAAAGTTTGCACTATGTGAATCTAATGCCAGATCTGGAGGTGGAGCTAAGGTGGTGATACTAGCACTGGGGAGCAGTTGCAAATACAAATGAAGCTTTGCTCGCGTGCCCGCCACTCACCTCCAGCTGTGCGGTTCGGTTCCTAACAGGCCAGGGAACAGTACCAGTCCCTGCCCCAGGAGTTGGGGACCCCTGCACTAAACTGTCTCTAACAAATGTCTGGGCAGCATCCATTATTGTTGTAAACAAATAATCTTGCTCTTTTTAAAAATACCAAGTCATTACTTCTTCTCCTGTCCTTAATTTCAAAAAAAGAATAAGTCCTCCCTATGCTTGTATACAGCAGGCTTTTTCTGTAATATATTTGAGGACCATCATGCCTTTCCTTAGTCTTCCCTTTTTAAAGCAAAATATAGCCAGAAAGCTTAACCATTCTTCCTAAGATTTGGTTTCCAAACCCCTTATCATCCTTGTGAAAGATGAAAATATAGCCCCCTCCTCATATAACAAGATGAGGCTAGAACAAACCTGAAATAGGCCCCCACAGAAGTGCTTTGAAGCTCTAACTTGAACTTTATGCTGTTTCACAATATGAACGTACTATTTGTAATCTGCTGAACTTTGTGCAATATGAAATTGCAAAGTAGATAGTTCTATGTATACTGTATTTGGAACATGAGTATTGTAACCGTGGGAGAAATAGGGAACTAAAAAGTAGCTGATGGATGCGGGTTCCAATGTACACGGGTATATGTGGAAAGTAGGTCAACAGGAAGTCAGTAAAGGTCAGCAGAAGTCAGCAAAGGTCAGCGGACCATCTGACTACAGTCTTAGAACGAGAAAGGTTATAAAAAGTTGGGTCTGGACCTGATTGATTTGCCATTGGCCTACAGCTGTCCTATAGAGCAACACCTAAATTGCAGATTCTGTACCGCTATCTTGACCTTATAAAATATTTACCTGCTCTCCAAAATCCAGTTATTCTTTACTTTAGTTGCTTTCTGGAAAGCCATTAAAACATAGCTGTTTTGACAAGCCTTCAGAGAGTTGTGGTATGTCTGCCATTTATTTAGTAATATGCTTTCAATATTTTTTTCAGTGTGATATGCAGTTTTATGATTTTGCTGTTTCATAATTTTGTTTTGTGAATTACCTACAGATGTGGTGGTATGCAAATAATGACAATAAATACAATCCAAATATAATGAATATGATAATCAGGTACAACAGGGGTGTCAAACTGCCGGCCCGCGGGCCGGATGTGTCATGCTGAAACCACGCCCACCCCATTGCCAGCAATGGAAAAAGTCGCAATATGTTGTGACACATCACGTGACGTTGCGAGGTTTGACACCCCTGAGGTACAATGTTCTTTTTATCTGAAGTTCCTCCAGTAGAATTACATAGTAATTGTAAATATGGTGTCTCTGACAAATGAAGCCAAACCTAGAATGAAATGTATGCTGCCATCAGATTGTGGAAACTGAATACAACCGGATGCATTAAATTGGGGAGAGCTGGTCCTAGAGCCAATGCCATTGTTTTATTCACGGAAAAAGTTTTCATCCATCAAAACATTAAAAAAATGAAGCTGGAATAGAGGTTTCCCCCCCTTTTTCTTTTCTTTTGAAGACTTTTCTGGAAATAAAACACACAGGTAATACATTTTGGCTTTTTCAAAACATACCAAATCCTCTGGGGTCTGAATTGCCATTGTGGTAAGCCTGTTTCTCATCATTTTCAGTGCCCCAGTTGCTGAAAGAAAGAAAGGGGACAAATGAAACAAGTGGAGGACAAATATATATTAAGCTCAAATCTAGTTAAATTAAAGCTACTGTATACTAAAAGAATCCACATAAAAATGAGCTGCACCCAAAACAAACAAACTTATAAAGAACAAGGATTTGTTTGCTTTGATGTAAGCTGGAAGTAAATCATTGGGGAGAAGGAGGAATTTGCTTCTTTATTGCACAGTGAGTCTGGTACCCTGACTTGTAAAACTACAGGTAGAACTTGTTTAGCAACCATTCATTTAGTGATATTCAAGTTACGATGACATTGAACAAATAGTACTTACACCCAACCTTGAAGTAACAACTGTTATAGTGCCTCTGCAGTCATGTGATCAAAATTCAAGTGATTGGTAGCCCACTTGGATTTACAATTGAAGGGATGCTTCAATTCCCCTTAACCATCTCCATCCTTTTGGCTTTTCTGCACTTTGCCGTCCCCAGCTGACACCACAGTAGATGCTTGTACACCCTCTCACACTGGGCAGCAGCCATCCCCAACCACCGCAATCATTAAGCAAATCAATATTCCCCAATGGGAATACCTGGAAATAAACATTGGGAACTGGAAAAAACATTGCAAATCCAGGAATATAACTGCAAAGGTGAGCTGGTTGCCAAGCACCCAAAATCCGATCATGTGACGGGATGGGTGGGTTATGGTCATAGAAACTTTGAAAACAGGCTGTAACTACTTTTGGGGAGCTTCTAATGATCATTAAGCAACCAGCCATAAGTCAAGGACTACCACATTTATTTTAATGTAATTTGACAGTCACACAATTTGAGAAAAAACACAATTTGTGTGATAAATTGTAGCTGTTAAGCAATCAGTTGTAGCTGTTAAGCAATCAGTTATTCTTGGAATTTCTTTCCACTCTGAGTAGAATTAGGGACTATTTTCATTTTTATTTATTTGAGTGCTGGTAAATCAGACACCTGTTCCAGTTTAAAACTGATTACACATACTGAAAAAAAAATCAATATATGACAATAAGTTCATCCAGGACACATTAAAAACAGGATATTTATTCCTTTATATGGACCTGTCCTTTGAGTAGGCAAATTATGACACAAACACCATATGAATTATTGGAACGCTTTATTTTTATAGAGTATAATATCAGAATCTGAAAACCTGAGTGAGAGTGTCTCCTCCCTTCTTACACTAAAGAGAATCAAGGTAAAGCATTCTTAACTTTTTCCTTATCTCCTCTCTGTATGGGTTAAATTATTGCTTGCACAATGGATATTGATTTCTTTCTTCAAGACCATTTTCATACCCTCTACAGGAACCAGACCTTTCTTTAAAAAAATTATTTTAAATGTGTCCTCTCTCTTCTAGGTGATCCATAGTTTGCAAAAAGATCATTTCTTATTCATTTCTCAAATCTCCAGGTTTGAAGATTATATAGTAGATGAAAACCTGGGGACTGGGGAAAAACCAATATGCAACAGTCACCAGATTTCAAAGAATACACTCACTGTGTCAGTTCTATTGTGGCCTTCCTAGAAAAGGTCCATGCTATCCTCTCATTATTATCTTTTGGAATATCATTTTTATCTTCATAGGCCAAAAAGTAGAGGGAGAACTTCATAGAAGGAAAATCATATTTTTGAAGTAAGCTGAGGGGAAAAAAACATACAAATTATTTCATCCTAAACATTTTTCCAGTTTCCTCATTGTAACACAGTACCAAGCCCCTTGATGATCAGCTTTAGGACTGCTGTTGACAATTTTTTAAATTGAAAAAAATCAATTAAAAATAAACACGAGGTTTACAATAACAACAGCATACAAGAAAGTTGTATTATTTTCTTACATAGATCAAATCCAGAAGGACCCTTACTATGGCAGTGTTGAGGAAAATACAACATTTTTGCTTATATAAAATCCCAGTTTTCTCTGAGAAAATATTTGGATTTTTTATTCAAAAACATTTGTGATGAACAACATAAATTAGCCTATAGTTTGCTTTTTATTACTGAACAAAATTACTTCTGAGCAGAGAAATATGAATGCACTTTACATCTCCCAAATCCTTACTTAATACATCAACAGTTTTAATTCAGACAACATATAAGTATGGTAGCTCAAAGCATTTGGTTTCTCATTATTTCAAAGATACTTTTTAGTTATTGTTCTTAGAAAATCAAGTCTGTAGGGCCCACATTTCTTTTATCACATGCAACAAGCAGAACCTTGCAGGCTGTAGCATACTGGGAATTTCCACTCAAGAACGCTGCCTCACACCTAAATATACTCCAATCTACTGGTAGGGTGAGATGAGGAGGAACAACATTCTGCTTCAAGCCTTGGAGAAAAGGCAGAGTTAAGCATGTTTCTCACTCAAATTATTGACAAAAGCATTATACCCACAAACAAAACAAAAAGTCCTTTTACTGAGCTGAGGTTCTCATCAAAGAAAGGGTTTTTTGTTTCTTTCTTTAGTAGTTCATCTCTTCTGTGCCAAGTTTTCTCAAAGTCCTTCCAAAATTGTTGGAACAGTTTAAAGCAGCTTAAAATATTTCATTACATCCAAGAGTCTTTCGTTTTTAGATGGTTAAAATGCTCATGAAAACAAGTAAATTCTTTTTACTTACGTCATCCCAAGAATTCTAGTATAAAAATCCAGTGATTTTTTAGGATCTTTTACTCTTAGCATTGTCTGCTGCATAAGAAAGTCCTACGGAAAAATACAACTTTGGTAAATCAGAAGTCTCAATAACATAGAATATAGTTTTCCTAGGGACAAAAAAAAATAGCCAAGACTAAAATGATATTTGTTTTGATATCAGACTAACAGCACAATATTACACGGTCAGTACTTGCACGGTTTTAACAGGATTCTGGTGGATGTTATTATTTTGATTCTTGGAGTACTGAATAACAATCAAAGAACTATTGTTTTAAAAGGCAGCTTCAAGTTCAAAATTTTTGCTCAGCCTAAGAATCTAAATCAAAACATTGTAAGAGACGACTGTCCAGGCTCTCCTTAAATACATCGCCTTCCTTGATAACTGGTTCACTTTACATCTGTTCTTACTGATACGTTTCTAACTTTCACTGGATCCTTCAGGAAATTATTTCATTTCATATTCTCTGGGACAACAGAAAAGACTGTTGTGTGTCATCTTTTCAGGGATTTCTAAAGTGTGGTCCTGCTCTCCTTAGATTTTGTTTTTCCAAGCTAAATGAACCCAATGCTCTCAATCTTTCAATTTAAGACTTGAAATTCAGTTCCCTGATTTTTCATAATGTTTTCTTTCTACTTACTCCAACTTCGTTAAAAAGAAAATGCACACTGGGATGCAAAGATCCCCAATCAGTGCCTCATATTATGAAGGGCTGTAGAGTGCTTCAGCTTCAAAGATGCTTCAAAGAATGTCTGCCTGCAACCTCTTAAACCACTTTCATCCCCAATGCAATCCCAGAAAAAGGTTTGCTTGGCTTAAAGAATTACAGAATGGCATAACCATTTGTTCAGCGACTGTTCAAGTTATGATGGTGCTGAATGAGGGGGACTAATGAGCAGTCCATAAAGTTGAGGTCGTCATGGCATCCCTGCAGTAATATGATTGTGATTCAGATGCTTGGAAACTGCCTTGCACTTAAGAAGGTTGCAGGGCCTTGCAGTTAGGTGATCACCATTTGTGACCTTTCCTGCCAGTTTCCCACAAGCAAAATCAATGGGGAAGGCAGGAAAGGTCACAAATCTCTCCCAAAAGTCACTCTTACTCTCACCATTTTTTCTCTTGAGGAGCTCTCGGATAACATGAGGAGTTGTTGGTAAGAGAGGCTTGATTTAAATAACTCTTGCAACATAGTTCTATTTTATCTTTTCAAAAGCACATTATAGTATGTTAAATGGAGCTAATTCCCAGAGATATAAATAGACAAGATTATAATGTCCCAAAGGTGCTTTTTTCAGGAGGCAACTGGACTTTCTTGTTTTTTGAAGATGTTTCACTTCTCATCTAAGAAGCTTCTTCAGTTCTGACTGGATGGTGGGGAATGGAAGGATTTATATTCCTTGCAGACAGCTGCAAGGAATATAAACCCTTCCATTCAGAGCTGAAGAAGCTTCTTGGATGAGAAGCGATACATCTTCAAAGAAAAACAAGAAAGTCCAGTTGCCTCCTGAAAAAAGCATCTTTGGGACAACCATGACCTGGATGACTGAGAATCTCCATAGACGTAAGATTACAATCGACTACCCTGTGTTAAATCTCCCTAAACTTGGTAGAAGTAAATACCAACACAACTATGTTATTAACAGAGAAGAATATAAAGTACCTCAAGGGATTCTGATAACGCTTGAGAAGGCATTTAGAATAATCATCGTTCAGGTCTCAATGTGTAATCTTACAATCTTATGTAGATATGAGAGGTCCTTAGTGCGCTCTGAGCTTGTTTTCTTGCAATGTTTCACTACCCAAACTAGATAACATCATCAGGACTGGTACTAGTTTCAATAATAAAATGAAATGAGGACCCTCATTTCAGTCCTGAGCTACACATATTCTTCTTTAATGGCTACACAGATCTATCATGGTTAGTAGGATAGTTAATAAAGTATAAAATAAATGTGTAGAGTTGCTTTCCTGAACTTGAGGCTGTCCAGATATGAATTGAGACTCTCGCTGTGTAACGTTTCAGAGGATGAGAAGTGCTGGTCAAGCGCACAGACCAGGCTGGAAAATAAAGAATATTTGTACCCCAGGGTTGAAATGAGGGGTCCTTGGTGCTCGCTGAGCTTGTTTTCTTGCAGATGCTGATGATGTTACCTAGTTTGGGTAATAAAATGTCTGCAAGAAAACAAGCAAACTCAGAGAGCACCAAAGGGGAGAAAAGGCTGGCATGAAGCGACATGTAAATCAAGATCACATGAAGTAATAATGCCACTTTATAGTTCCTTGATAGGGCCACAGTTGGAATACTGCATCCAATTTTGGTCACCACAGTGTAAAAAAGATGTTGAGACTCTAGAAACTACACAGAGAAGAGCAACAAAGCTGATCAGGGGACTGGAGGCTAAAATATAGAGAACAGTTGCTGGAATTGGGTATGTCTAATTTAATGAAAAGGACTACGGTAGGGATTGCATCATATAGCAGTGTTCCAATATCTCAGGGGTTGCCACAAAGAAGAGGGAGTGGAGCTATTCTCCAAAGCACCTGAAGGCAGGACAAGAAGCAATGGATGGAAACTAATCAAAGAAAGAACTTTGGAGAAATTTCCTGACTGTTAGAACAATTAACCAGTGGAACAACTTGCCTCCAAAAGTTGTGAATGCTCCAACAGTGGAAGTTTTTAAGAAGAGATGGGACAACCATTTGTCTGAAATGGTATAGGGCTTCCTGCCTGAGCAAGGGGGTTGGACTAGACGACCCCCAAAGGTCCCTTCCAACTCTGTTATTCTATTCTATTAGCATTCCGGGAAGGATATGATTCTCCGACAGTCAGGACTTGAGGTTACTTTTTGCTTGGCTTCCACCCTGGTATTCTGCAACGCCTGAATCCTACGAGCTCTTTCGGCGGAGCGAAAGTTGCTCGCAGGGAAATCAGGAGAGGCCCTCTTCCCATTTTCCAGCAAGCTCTCGCTATTTCTTCAAAGGTTTCCTCCTCCCTGAAAGTCGCTTCCTCCCCTTTACCTTCGTGCTGGGATCAGGGTCGGAACAGGCACTATAGGCTTCCTCATCGGCCAGACCGCTCAACTCGCCTTGCTCCGACATGCTGCAAACCAGGGAGCCGAACAGCCACACCGACTTACGCCCGGTCCGTCCCCTCCCAGTAGCGTATTTTAGAGGCGACGAGGGGGAAAAAAAAGAGCGATGAGACTCTCCAGCCAATGGAGGCAAGGCATGCAAATCGGGCAAAACTGTGGTTTGGGCTACTACATCCACATACTGTATACTGCGGTAGCAGATCTACTTCATTACCTTCCTTCAATTCCCAGCGTTCTTTGCAGCAGAAGGGTTACCTCCCCAATTCCTTTTAAAGAAAAGATGATTCATCCCCTGTAACTGGTGAGGAACCTAGGTGTTATTGCGAGTTCACTTTGGCAGGGGAGCGATGGAAAATAGATGAGTAGCTGTCAGAGCAGCGACAGTATGACTTATACCAGGGGTAGTCAACCTTGGCTCTTTTATGACTCGTGGACTTCAACTCCCAGAATTCCTGAGCCAGCTGTGCTGGCTCAGGAATTCTGGGAGTTGAAGTCCACGAGTCGTAAAAGAGCCAAGGTTGACTATCCCTGACTTATACAGTAGTTGACTGCAGAGAACTAAAAGAAGTACAGTTTTTTTAAACAAAATTATGCATGTTAAGTAATTTGAGGAAAACTTTTTAAAACTCCGTTAATACCGTATCTCCAATAAAGAACGATTCATTTGAACATGCTCTTCAAAAGCAAAGAATTGAGTAAAATACTTAGCCATAGGAGGCTTAATGGGAAATTTTAACTTGTTTGGTATTCTCACAAAATCCAATTTTCTGAACTCTAATGATGGCCGTGAAGCATTGGTTTTCAAAGTCAGTGTTTATTATAGCAAATAAGACATTTGGTTAGTAACAGTTGAGCAGAAGGCTGCAGTTGAAGAAGCTGTTATTAAAACAATGTTCTCCAACTTAGTATTGCCCGCGTGTACATTGCTTAAAAATGCTTATTCAATAAAATATGAGTTGGCTCAGTTAATGCAGCAATTCATTCATGCCTTCAAGTTAGTATTGACTCTTGGCAACTGCCTGGACCAGTCCCTGCAGTGTTCTTGGCAAGATTTGCAGAAGTAATTCTCAGCATAGTAAACCATAAACTATCATTTATAAAATTACAGTCTTTGGTTTACTACTGTATAGCACTCCCTTGGGGTAATTTTCTTGGATTAGTCTGACAGACTGGAGCAACAGAGAGCAGGTTTTTATCTTTTTTCTGCAGGGCTTTTCAAAGTACTGTCCCGTTCCTTCTTTTCTCCAGGCTAAATGACTCCAGTTCTTCCAGATCCTTTTTGTGTACTTTTCTTTTGAATTATTCCACCTTCCCAGAAAAAAAATATGGTGTAAAGAAATGGACACAAGAAGGGAAAAAGTCACTGATCACTATCTTTATAAAGAGTAGCCTGTACAGGGCTTCCAATTCAAAGCTGCTTTCGAGAATGCATGTTTGCAACTCCTTAAAGCAGTTGTGTTTGCAGTGCAATCTCAGAAAAAAGGTGTTTGGTTTAAGGAATTCAGGGAGGTATGATGCTTGAACTTCTTTCCACAGTGAAGCAATTTTTTGCCTTTCATCCAAGGCATTGTAAGTCATAATATGTATATCTCAAAAGATCTATTAGAATTCCCTGTATGATTATGGGAGAAAAATTTCTAACATAAAAGCTTCAAAAACCAATAATAATCAGCAACAATTGGACTGAGTAAAATGGATTAATTGTCTGAATCAAATTTACTGTAATTTTTAAACTTCTTTATGACATCAACTTTCCAGAATGTTCTGAAGAGTTCAGTTTTAAACTGAACATTTGTTAAGATGTTTGAAAAAGTTACACAATAACATAATTCAGTAATTCAGAAGCATTTGTAACCATGTTGTCATCCTTTACCAGTACATATCAATCGAAATAACAACAAGCTTGATCAAGAGAGTCTAGATTTAAAGGGATTAGAACACGAGTGTCAAACTCGCGTGTCATGTGACATGTTGCGACGTATTGCAACTTTTTTTGCATTGCCGGAGCTGGGGTGGGCGTGGCCTCTGCATGATGCAACCGGCCTGTGTGCCAGGAATTTGACACCCCTGGATTAGAAGGAAATGCCAAGATACTGACTGAGTTAATATAGCACAGTAAGGTAATAAACTATGGTTTATAAATGACTATGTTTGATTTACCACAGCACTCTCTCAGGTTGTGTTTATATAACATGCATGCCCATGATTAAACATGATTTAGCTAAACCAATTTTGAGGTTAGAATGATACTGTCAAAGCAAAAACATCCAATGTTTGCATTGTTTCGTTGGAACCATGACAGATACACTAACCAACAAACTATTTACTTCGAAGAATTTATTATATTTTATAATTATATGAATAATTTGTTCTCTTATTGATTTGGTTCCTCACCAGACCAATATAATCCAGATGATCATCAGTCAAGAGGCAGGAATTGCTAACCCTCTCACAATTCTCTCTAATAGGTCAGAATTATTTCTCTGTGAAGCTTTTGAGCAAAAATGAAATTCAAAAAGTGACTGGCAGGTACCTTTTAGAATCAAACACTATAGCTTCAAATTGTGCAAAGGACAAGATGGGTATTGCATTCACTAAATTTTAAATATGAAAAATGAGTTTATAGTTCTTCCAGTACCAAAGAAATTCAACATAATGATAGCAGTGTTAAAATGTGGGACTTACTATTCTATATAAAATTAATATTTCTGAGAACAGGAATTAAATCAAATGCTCAAGATTCTGTAATATTTTTAAAATAAGTTAGAAGCAAAACTGAAATAAAGTCTCTATACATAGCAATAGTTCCCCAAGAGTGAGATACAATAAATAGCAGGAAAGATATGCTAATTCCAAGCCTTCTTTTTCCTTTGGTCATATTATGAATATGTGCAAGTTGGAAAAGACCACACTCCAGGAACCATCCGCTGCAGCAACAGCACAATACCTATGAGATATTCCTACTGCTGGGCAGTAATGCTGCATTTTGATTCCATTCCATTAATTAGACTGATAGATTCTGCGCTCAACTGCCAATAAGGCCATTGCACAGCTTAAAGGTTCCATGTCCTTCCACTTATAGTCCCAGCTGAGTGCTTGAAGCCATTTGAAGTTTTGCTGCAAATATGCTCTCTCTGAATTCATCCGCCCACCTTTATTAGACTTCATTTTTTTTGAGCTCAAGAGGGAAACTGCTTAACACTCAGTGGATGAAGTGAATTTCCTAGCTGTCTGTCCATTTCCTTGCATCTTTTCAACAAGGTCAGTGAAGAAACAATTTTGGTCTGAGTTTGGTTTGAGAAAGAGATAAGGAAAATTGATTAATTTAGACACAAGCTCATTGCCCTCTTGTTCTACCAAGAGCCTATTGTGTTGCTCTTTAAAGATAGTAGTAAGTAATAATTATATCAATTAATGTTTATATGCAACTCTAAAGATTCCAGTGATTAATTTCCTATCTTCCAGTATATGAAGGAACATCTCATCTTAAACATTGAAAGAGGAAAAGAACTATTTTAAATAGATTTTATTTCAAATAATTGTTTATTTCTTTTCAGTATTCTAATTTTGAAATAACTCAGATGATCAGATATGTTGTTACCTTCTGGGAGGAGGCTTCGTGGTATCCAGATTCAGTCACAATTTTGTTCCATACAGTATCAACCTTGTGAACTCTCAAGCTTCCTTGGACAGTGATTAATATTTATATGTATTTATATGTAAGGGTGTAGGTATATACCATATTTTTAAAATAATTATGGACACATACATATGTATGCATATAGCATGTCTATATGTGTGTTATGTATGTGTACACTTTTGAGAACAGGCAACAGAATTTCATTTTTAATGTGTGCCAGTGTGCCCACAGGAAAAAATGACAATAAAGGTTATCTCATCTCATATTTAGAATAAATCACCATTAAATAAAAAATATTTGCTATTCTTTGCAGAATAATACCCCTTATTCTGATCCATATTGGGGTAAGCCACATTTTGCCAAGAGAAAAAAAACAAGTAATAGCATGCCTACCCTACAAGGTTTCATCCAAAAAAGGTGCCGGAACTCCATTCTGGGCATTCTATGACAAAAAAAGCCCTGAATAATAGGAAATCAAAAAATTAAAGGCATGAGATCAGAGACAGAAAAGGGAATATAGCTAAAACTAATTTACATCATCATTCACTGTAAGTCTCCCTATCCTTGCTAACAAGCCTCCAGAGCATACATATGTTTCATATATTGCCTTTTATTCTTTATAACATAAAAGCATGCACAGGTAGCCCTTGATATATGACTGGTCACAAAATGCAGTGTTTCCCATGCTGAACAGAAGGAACAAGTTTAGCAGAAGAACACCAGTTTTATAGTAGCTGTACTGATTGCCAGTAGGCTTTCAGATCCAATTGATCTGGTTTTTACCTATAAAGAGATGGCTTATTTTCTAAAGAAAAAAGAAAGAAAATCCACATATCTAAAAAGAGAGGTGTTCAATAAAATACCTTAGTTATTAGGGCATACTTGGTACTGTAATAGAAAAGAATACTTGTAGTTCATGACTGAACTATGGAATTAGTACTCTGCTATACCAGAATCTAATGAAATCAATCTTTCCAGACACTGTTATTTTATTATACCTTTTGATTGCATTACCCTCATGGCCTAAGCTTCCAAGAAATATTTTTTGGAAGCAATAGGTGCTGTTCTGAAGAAAAAGTAATGTGAACCAGGCATTTTAGTATCGCCTGTTCACCGCCCTGAGTCCCGTAAGGGAGATAGGGCGGTATATAAATTTAATAAATAAATAAATAAAATAAATAAATTTTTCCCTAGCTATGTGGTGGAAAATCTGAAAAGTAGTTAATTCTCAAGAGTGCTTAAAAGTTCATTTTTATGGGCTTTTTTGCAAAATGGCCAAGAAAGGTGCCAAGAAAGGTGCCAAGAAAGTAGATTCTGTCGGATGACAGGGAATATTTTCCTGATGTGACAGACCTTAGTATTGCCTTCTTACCCAACATCAACACAACAGAGTAAAACCGTCCTTGCAGTTTTGTATGCCATTCTATCAGAAATAATTCTGTAGAGAAGAATTATTCCAAAGGTAAATTTTTGAGGGCTGCATAAGAGCAATAGCACTTAGACCAGGGGTGTCAAACTGCTGGCCCATGGACCGGATGCATCATGGCAAAACTGCGCCCACCCCATTGCCGGCAATAGAA